GTTGAAGTCCCAGGATAGGCGTTCTGGCACGAGTCTGGACCGCCAAGACGTAACAGTCAGGTGAACACGTGGCGTTGCAGTCCTGAGAACGGTGTCTTAGCACGCTTCAGGATATTCACACGGTTGTCCCCCAACAGGGCAATCCCCTCAGTAGAAATGACCCCTTGTAGGGGCCTAGGAAGAGGGATCCTGGAAGGAGGGTGTCTTTGAATATCAATAAGTCTTGGGTTTGCACTGCCCCCCTGGTCCTTCTCCTCCGCCCCCGCCCACAAGGGGGGCCCAAGAGGCGGACGTCGAACTGCAATCTGGTGCCATTCCACCGCAAGACGGCCCCCGAGACAGATGGAAGAGCCCCAAGGCGATGACCCCAAGAGGGGCCCAGAGGCACCCAGAACGCCCCAAGAGGCCCCCAAGAAGCTCCAAAAAGGTTCCAAAGAGGCCCCCAAGAGGCCTCCGCGAGGCCCCTGAGAGGCATCCAAGAGGCCTGTTGTTCACGGCCCAATGCAATATCGCGAAATGGGCCGAACGACAAGAGTAATGATCTCTCGCGCAATTAACCGTCGCCAGCGCAAGCGCCAGATCATGCCGAGGGAGCACAACATAAAGAGAACGGGGGAGATCTATACATATTCTGGCATGCGTACATGCATGCACGTCTGCCCGACGCGCCGATGATTCCAATCGACGAGAAACCGATGGCGGGACATACTCTAAACTAATCAACCACCTTGTGTGAGAGCGTTGGCGAAACTGCTGCCCTCGTTAACATACATGCACAACATACGCGCGTGGGCGCGCGCACACACACGCGCACATTCGCTCACACGCATACATGCGCGCACACACGAACAGAGCACACAGCGCACACACACACACACATACAATACACACACACACGCAACACACAAACCCACACACACACACTTACACACACTTACACACACGCACACACACGCACACACACGCACACACAACCATTAACATACACAGGCACACAGGTACGACACACATAAACACACACATGCGCACACCCACACAGACAAACACAATGCACACATTCGCAGTCACATTTTTAAGCGTCCGACGAAGCGACTCGCTTTGGGCCGCAACGTCGCGACCACACATGTTCATGCATAATCGTCGCCAGTGTCTAGCAGACGCCTACCCTCGGGGCGCACGCGCCGAATGTACTGCTCCTGGAAGACGCGGTTGTGGGCCCCTGTCAGGTAGTACAGCACAAACGCACCTAGACTGAACAAGCCGAGGATCGTCACTGCCAAAGGGTGCACTTGCAGCTTCACGCCAGCAACCTTGACATCAAGCACAAAGTCTCTTCTGCAAACGTCCACGTACATCAAGATTCCAGCCGACTGCATAATCAACGGCATTCCGTAGCCAAGGCACTTCACAGCAAAATGTCGCCAAGTCACGATGTCTGGTAGCAAATGCGCCACCGTGCCCTGAGGCACGATTTGGAATGTTCTCAGGTCCTTGGCCCAATCCCTCAAGCCTCAGTTCTCAATCCTGAGGATTCTTCGAGGGGCCCGGACCCAACATTCCTAAATCTCCCGAGGCTAATCGCGCGCCCCCTGGGCTCCTGGCCGTCTTCCCGCATGACTTCTTCGGGCCCAAGAGGGCCACGAGACGGGCCAAGAGCGCCCCGAGAGGACCCCGAATCGCCGAACGATCGGTCCAAGACGACCAAGATGGCCTGAAGCCAGCTGATGAGGCGCCAAGACACCCCAAAAGAGGCCTAAGAGAGGCTTCCCAAGAGGCCTCCCAGGAGGGCCCGAAAAGGTAAACATCGTCAAATTACATGGGGAAAACTGCATGTTTAGCATCTACTACTTCCGACCTCGCCGAAGACGACCCAACAGGCGCCCCAGACGGCCCAAGAGAGCCCCAAGACGGCCACAAGTGGGGCCCAAGAGGGGAAGCCCAAACTGATAATTCGAGATGTCTGGCCCAAGTTGCCCCCAGGAGGCCCCAAGAGGCCCCCAAGTGGCCCCCAAGACGCCCCAAGAGGCTGCAAAACAGCCCCCAAGAGGAAACCAAAAAGCCTCCAACAGGCCCCCGAGAAGCCCCCCCGACAACATCCCAACTAACGTCCGAAAGGTCTATGACCCACAACCCAGGCACGGTGGCAGGGCCGAAGAACGCCGAAGGCCACGAGATAGTAGGCAGAGGCCAGTTCGAGTCCTGTAGCCCCAGCTGTCACCAGTCGGTTTGTAAAAAATGTCTGATATAGGAAGATGATCGTTGCAGAGAGGCTCATGAACAATACGGCCGCCATCATAAAAAATCCAACGATCTCCAGTCCGTCTAGAAAAGACACTCCGTCGGTCATTTCCACGCTCCGGGACAGCCTGAAACACTGAAGTAGCGCACTACCGGTGCTCAAGCTCGCGATCAGGGCGAGCCCGTTGAAGGCGGTCAGGCGCTTCTCTATGACGTTGCTGGCAAAGAATCTCGGGTCATTGTGGAGTTCCATGGAGTGGTCCTTCGCTAAGGGCTTGAAGACTTCTGCGGTCCCGCGACTCGCTCTGGATCTTCCCCGATTGTTCCACATTGATCATAATGTCTCTCGACTTGCCTCGATGTGTCTGAGCTCACGTCGGGTCATGTTGATTTGCACCGATCTATCGGGCTCGATCCCCGCGAGTCGATAGAAGCAGAGCAATCAAGCCCACGGGAATTCCTGCGCCAACTTCTCCCGCTCTTTCTTCCTCCCCCTCCAGCTCATCCTCCAATCCTCGGAGGTCCAGCCAGACCTGGAGCTCGGCACCAGGGGAAAAGGAAGAGCCGCGGAGAGACGAACCCGCTGCACGCAGGAGGGCCACCTGGAAAGATTGTCATCTGGTGCGCCGCGTGTGATTCGACTGCAACGGCATGCGTGCTTGGGTTTGCCCCCGCGCACCAGAGGTCACTCCAGCGAAGGCCGCTCTGCTCTTGCGCGTGACCGGAGAGGGACGGAGGAGGAAGAAGAAGAGCGTATAGAAGGCCGCATGGACAAAAACTGTCGGAGGTCCGCGCAGATTTCTTAGATCGGCGCTGGGCCCCTGTCCCTAGCTACCGCGCAGAGCGCGACAGGGGCGGCGCCAGAGGCGCCTCCAAGGGTGTCCCGCGCCGATCCAAGAAATCCGCGCGGAACTTCGAAAATCACGTTCATGCAATTGTTTTTTCTTCGAGGAGGGGAGACAAGACCCAACGGCGACGACGACGGCGGCTCCCTGGGCACCAAGGCGCGGCAAGCCGCGTCCATGCAGCCGGACGCCGGGATCTCTATGTCGACCACGTCGTCGTCGCCAGCCGAGGGGAGCCGAAGCCACGTCGGGGATGCCAGTGGAACTCGAACCCAGCTGAACTCGGACCCAAGCTGAACTCGGACCCGGCTCCCGGACCCAGTTGAACTCGGACACAGCTGAACTTGGAGGCGCCTTCGAGGCCTCGGACCTCCTGAGAGCTTCTCGGGGGCGAGGGCTCGAGATGTCCGCTCGGGTCCCCCGTCTGGGCAACCTCTTGGAGCCGTCTTGGGTGCCTCTTGGCCAGGCTTGGACGCATCTCGGGACGTCTTGGGGCCCTCTAGGGATAATTATGATGGGAACCTCTTGGAGGAGTTTGGACCGCTTTGGGGCGATCTTGGCCTCCTCTTGGGTCGTCTTGGAACGCCGGGAAGCGGAAGAGGCGAAAGCGCCAAAATCATTCAAAAAACCCAAGGGAAGTCAATGACGTTTGCATCGGGGGGCCTTCCTGGAGGCCTCTTGGGACATTTTGCAGGCCTCATGGGCCATTCAGGAGGCCGTGAAAACTTCTTGGACAGATCGTTCGGCGATGCGGAGCCCTCTTGGACCGTCTTGGGGGCCTCTTTGGGCACTCTTGATCAGTCCCGAAGCTTTTTGGGGACCCAGGACCCCCAGAAGGGATGCGTAGCTGGGTGGCCACCACCCTTCGGGCACCGAGGTTTATCTCCCCCAGGACCCCCCCACCCAGGGACCTCCCCCCCCTCGACGGGGGAGGGATCAAAGGGAGGGCGCTTCCCTTCGATTGAATTTCAACGCGAGACGGCTGCGTCGGGCATTGAAGCAACTTTGTTCCCCACTTTCAACTCCCCGTTGCTCCCCTTGCCCACCCGCTCCGTGCATTTTCGTTTTCAATACGTTTCGGGTACGTTTTCAGCTCACGTGCAACCACCCGCTTCCCAAAAATTATCATGGCGGAGGACCCAACCTATGCAGTTGTGGGTACCGCAATTGTGAATATCTTCTTCGGTGGAGCTCCCTACGAGGCCACGAAACGCTGCAGTGGGTGGGGGGGAACGCGCGCGGGCGGTCCCGCTGGGGCCGTCGGTGGAGCTCCCTATGGGGCCACGAAGCGCTGTGCTGGTGGGTGAAGATGCCATATTGGGTTTCCGGGACGCATGCGGGCTGTCCCACTGGGGGCTTCGGTGAAGCTTCCTATGGGGCCACGAAGCGCTGTACTGGGTGGGTGAAACTGCCACATTGGGCTTCCGGGACCATGCGGGCGGTCCCACTGGAGGCTTCGGTGGAGCTCCCCTTGGGGCCACGAAACGTTGTACTGGGTGGGTGGAAATGCTAAATTGGGCTTCCATGACGCATGCTGACGGTCCCACTGGGGGGCTTAGGTGGAGCTCCCTATGGGGCCACGAAGCTCTGTACTGGGTGGGTGAAAATGCAAAATTGGGTTTCCGGGACGCATGCGGGCTGTCCCACTGGGGGCTTCGGTGGAGCTCCCTATGCGTCCACGAAACGCTGACCAGGGTGTGCGAAAATGCCAAATTGGGTTTCCGGGGGACGCATGCGTGCGGTCCCACTGGGGGCTTCGGTGGAGCTCCCTATGGGGCCACGAAACTCTGTGCTGGGTGGGTGAAACGCAGGGAGGAGGGAGGAGGGGGAAGAGGGGAAGGAAGGATTGAGGGAGAGACGCGGGGACCGTCTCTTCAAAACGAGGACCCAACACCACAGGATGGTTGGGAAAAACTCTCTGGGAGCTTCACAACCACTGCAGGGGTGCCATCGAGCAGGGCCCGACCGAACGGGATGGCAGCGCTCACCAAGCAAAGCGTAGGAGGAAGAGTAACGGATGCAGACGAGGGCGTAGACGGGGCCGAGCCTGTGCCCGTCGAAGACGGCAGCGCTTCCTCCGCTGCGGGCGCCTCCTCCGACAACGACTGAGGTAATGCTGACGCCGCCCCAATCCTGTTCGCGCGTGTCCGTTTTTACGTTTCTGTGGCCTTTTGAGGTTCTGGTTGGCGCCGTTTTCAGCAGCAAATGTTGCTTTCCGTGTCCGTTCCCCGGTAGCGCCGTGTTTTTTTCGGTTCGAACTTTGCTTTATTCCCGCATTATATTTCCCAAGAGCGAAAAATGAGAGCGGGGGAAAAAACACCCTGACCCGTTTTCAGAGACTATGAGGACCAAGTCCGAGTTCAACGGGTCCGAATTCATGAGGTCCGAGCTCAGCCGGGTCCGAGTTCAGCCAGGACGGAGCGCAGCAGGGTCCGAATTCAGCCAGGTCCGAGTTCAGCCGGGTCCGAGATCAACTCTTCCCCCTGCGGCCCACTCGACGAGAATCTTTCGCGGCAGCCAGAACGGCCAGGTCCGAGTTCAGCCGGGACGGAGCGCAGCAGGGTGCAAAATCAGCCGGGTCCGAGTTCAGCCGGGTCCGAATTCAGACGGGTCCGAGATCAGCCTGGTCCGAGTGCAGGCGGGTCCGAGTTCAGCGGTTCTGAATTCAGCCGGGTCCGAGTTCAGCCTGGTCCGAGTTCAACCGGGTCCGAGTTCAACCGGGTCCGAAATCAACCCCTTCGTTGTTGCGAAAGCCACATTTTGAAAAAGGACCCACCCTCAATCTTTGAAGCTGCTGCAAACCGTTCAGACGAGTATGCGCGGCCTAATTGCGAGAGCCACATTTTGAGAAGGATCCGCTCGTCTTCCTTTGAAGCCGAGCTTTCTCGCTTGCAATGATTTCGAAGATGGTGAGGGGCGTCCTTTCAACAAAATGCTGCTCTCGCCATTAGGCAGCCCACATTCGCTGTAAAGGCTTGCAGCAGATTCAAGGATGGGGGCGCGTCCTTTTTCAAAAAGTGGCCCTCGCCATAACGGCAAGCACATTCGTCTCGAAAGTTTGCAACGGCTTCAAGGATGGAAGGCGGATCCGTTTTCAAAAGATGGCTCTCGCATAGTTAAGCGCCGAGCATACTCGTCTTCAAGGGTCGCACCAGTTTCAAGGATAGAGGGCGGGTCCTCTTCGAAACGTGTCTCTCGCCAAGCGCCGCGCGCGCATGGTTTGTGAGAGTGCGTCACTGCTCCAAGAAATCGGAATTGAGAGAGCGCGTTTCACGGGCGATTGCCTTGGGAACATTCGGCGGTGCGTTTCGAACCGGGGGGTGGGCCCCCCCCCCCAACACTCGGCGCCGTCGATCAGAACCAGGGGGACTCCCCTCCCCCCCAAACCCCCCCCCCTCCCTGGCGCCGGCGCCGGCGCTGGCGGCCGCCGTAGCGCCAACGCAGCAACGATGACCAGAGAGAGCCCAGGCGCCGGCGCCGGCGCCGGCGCTGGCGGCCGCCGTAGCGCCAACGCAGCAACGATGACCAGAGAGAGCCCAGGATGGGGGGGGCTGTTCAACCCCCCCCCCCGCCGCGCCGGCGCCGGCGCCGGCGCTGGCGGCGGCCAGCAGCGCCGACGGCGGGGACGCAGCGACGATGACCAGAGAGGGCCCGAAGGCCGCAGAGGGAACACACAAATCGCCATATCGAGCCCTCGCATGCTCCTCAGACCTTAAGAGGCATCCATGAGAACTCTGACCCTTTGCCAAAACACAGTGGCGGGAAGAGACGCCCGCCACACCACCACCACCACCACCGCCACCACAGACCACCATACTACCACCACCACCGCCACGACCACAACCACCACCACAACCACCACAACCCACCGTCACCACAACCATCACCATCACAACAGACCACGTCACCACCACCACCACCAAAAACGCCACCACCACCAGCACCACCACAACCCACCACAACCACCACAACCATCACCACACCATTACCACCACCATCACCACCACCGCCACAACCACCACCATCACCACAACCCACCACCAACACTACCACCACAAACCACCACACCACCACCACAACCACCACCACCACCACCACCACCGATCACGCACCACCCACCACCACCACCAGCACCACTACCAGCAGCAGCACAAACACCATCACAAACACCACAGCCCACCACAAACCACCACGACACCACCACCACGCCAGAACCACCACCAACGCCACCACCACGACCACCACCATCACCACCTCAACCCACCACCACCACACAACCACCACACAACCACCACCACCACCACAACAGCGCACCACCACCACCACCACCAATACAACAACCCACCACCACTACCACCACCATCACCACAATTCACCATACCACCACCACCGCAACCGCCACAACCACCACCACTAC